TTTTAAATTGTAATTAGCACCAGAAAAATTTAAAGAAACTTTGAAAGTTTAAGAAATAAGCAACATCTCTTAAAATCATCTTAACTGACCTCACTCAAAAATAGCAGATGAACAGTTCGTAGTTCTGAAAATTCTTACCATGTAGAAAAGCTATTGTAGACAGACTATAGATGAAGGTGGTCCTTTTTCGGACATTAACAACTAAAGCAAGATAATTACTGTTTGTTTTCAGGACAAATACAGTTTGTAAATTTTTAATTTTATAGATGATTTGAGATTTTCTGCAGAATGAGATTCTACCTTACATTTTACTAAAGGAAGTAATGAAATATTTTTTGATGGCAACGCAATTGAGTCAGACTGAAATATTTAGAGGAGACTCTGAGACGTCTCTTAAAAAATTGCATTAATTCCAAGTATTTTTCACAGAAACAAAAGTGGAAAAGAACAATGAAAAACAAGAGGACAAGGACATTCACCTAATCCTGAGGAAATTCAAATTAGCTTATGACAAATATGAATATTTTTACTTCTTATACAAAGTATTTTATGTGAATGATAAGGCATATGTTAATAGATTGCTTTCTATGGCTTAAGTTTGCATTCTCAGTCAATTATCCATGATTATGAAGTGAAAATTATAAATATGTGGAAAACCATTCTCTAGAAGAACCACATAAAGAATCATCTGCTTTTTTTAAAAAAAAAATTTTTGAATATTTGTCTTCTTCACCTTTTCCTTTCTTTTTTTTTCTCCAGAGCATTCAGCAAGTCTCCCTTATCAGTAAAAGTGGGGAAAAAAAGTCATTCAGTGAGTGTAAAGTGACACACAAACTTGCCTACATCGACAATTTCTAGTAAAAACATGACTTGTTTTAGAAGCCAAAGTAAACTGGAGGTGGCAATTGTTCCCTTCTTCTTTGACATAATGCACCATGTAAATGGTTCTATTAGTGATACTAAAGCCTTTGATCAGACTTAAATAATTAATGACTCATGTCAGTATTCATGTTCTGCGTTATCTTTAAATTACAACAGCAAAGCGAGAGAGTCTTTCTCTCTGAATCAGTGTGAAATTCTTGCTATGATAATATAAGCACTTTTTTAAATTGCCGTGTCCTGGGCAGCAAGTTTGCTTTGCAGAATCTAGTATAATAGACAATCACAATAATTTAAAAATACGTAACTTTTCTTAAGAAAAAAAAAAAAAAAGGCTAAGAATAAGAGAACTAGGTACAATAACAGATATCCTAATGAATACTGTTCTAGCTATAAGTGCTAGTGAGCTACAGTTTTACATACATACGCTTCTTGTACATGCATGCACACCCAGTGACCTAAGATGATGCCTCTAAGCAATTTTAAAGTGGAATAACTTTGAAGAGTAAATAATATTTCAAATGATGGGACAGATAAATACAGGTTCAATCACATAGGAAATACTTAATTCAAGTTCATAAGACCTGAAGAAAAGCTTGTCCGAAATTGATACTTCCGTTCAAGTTTAACCTGGGGGACGGGGAATATGATGTTGCTGACATAATTTCTCTAATTTAAACCTTTCACAGTGATTTGTAGGTCTGGCAAAGCATTCTGTTAGGTACCACATACAATTAGGGAAAGAAAAATGCAAACTTTTGCTGTTTTTATTTTCTCTTAATTCCTATGGCTGTATGAAGTGCTTTTTCTCCCACAAGTTAGAATTTTAAAGTTATTTTATATCTCTCTGCCTGATGGGGTTTTCAGGGCATATTCTCTATCCTATGCTAAATAGGAGCAGTTTCTTACAGTACAAAGCCGGATGTACACTTGGTTTATAAAACGAGTTTTTCATCCAATTCCAGAGCGCAAAATGATAAAAAGGCCAGGTAACATTAAACCTTCAGGTCAAATAATAACTCCAAATTCAAGATATATGAAAGCCTGTAAGAAAGAGACATGTTCAATATGTCTCCAGAACATCTTATCATAGGAAAATCACACTTCTGGTATCAGCTTCTCTTTTCGTCCAGGCAAGTGTAGAATATCACCTGCCATTCAAATACTTGACAAAAAGTAAAACAATATTTTATAAACATAGCTTTGCAGCAACTCTTTGATCAGTTTTACTTCAAGATCCCACGTAAGGAGGAGGCTCATACAGAGAACAGCCCTGGACAGGAGAAAATTGGACACTCAGCCCTATCCTGCATTTTACTTACATACCAAATATGGAGGATTGAGTTTATGCTCTTTACCTCCAAAATAGACAGTACTCCAAAAACACACCTTAAAGATGGTATCTTTTCTTCCCATTTCTCTGTCTTCCTTTATGTCTCCTCTTCTTCTTCAGAGTTCCTTCTCTATTCTTTTCCCATCTATTAGGTAAAATCAATTGGATGACCACAGTCACAGTATCATATTTTAATCTAATATACAACATTTGGATATCTTCTAGCAAAATCTTCCGTGCTTCATTTTATCACCTGTGAGAAACACCATTAGACTCACACTTGGTACCTTGAAGAAAAAGATCTGACATCTGCTTTTCCAAATAGGAAGGCAAGACACCTTACAGTATTAAACACACATGGTGTGTTAATAGCAACAGCAGAAAATCTAGTTGTGTAAATAGTACGGTTTAAAGTGCAAATAGATTTAATATCTTTAATATTAAATTCCCAATCTACCTTTGACTACAAAAAAAACTATGAGAGTCATACATTACAGTTATTATTAAAATTTATTATATTATTAAATATTTATAGAAGTGAGTAAAAATCTCATTAAGCATAGCATTGATGTGATAATACAGTTCATAAAAACACTGCTCTGTTTTTCCTGATTAGTTCTCATACACTTTTCACACCATTCTCTTTATTATGTTCTGCAGGGGCATAAATGAAAAAAAATCCCAAACATCTGTTAGTTTTGTAATATATTTTTTTTTAATTTAATTTTTATTTGCTTTCTGAAAAACATCCTGGAAACCTGTAGGTGCTGAAACTCAGATATTTGGCACACAGCTGAATCAGATGCAGGTGGAAATTAGCAGTATGTATTTTCCTAAAATGAATATTTACTGTCTTATAATTGCAAACATTTTAACCTCAATAAATAAGTGTTAACTTTTCTGAGTAGATATTTACTTTACACTTAAACACAAAACTGCTAACTTTAGGCCTTACTAAGATAAAAGCACCCAAAATTTCTGAAAAAAAAAAAGGTTTTTGTGCTTATGCAAGATGAGTGTATGCCCAGACTTTTTACTGGAGATTCTCTCTAAGCTTTTGTGGTTGTGCTTTTAACAGCTTCCTAGAGCTACTTGTAGCCAGAGACGAAAAAGTGTATCCCATGGGGGAAGCTACGGTCATGGTGAGCAGGCAGGGATGTGTCAGGTGATCCAGAGTTCCATTGGACAGGCAGGCTGCTCTTAACCTGGTGAGATTCATCAACACTGTCAGCCTTCCTTCCCTAATCCTATATCTGAGCTCCCCAGCAGCCTCACCACCATTCAAGCTCTCTGACTGGTCCTGTATTAGTGAATCACCAGCAAGTGAAAGGCCTCCCATGGGCTGCTCTTCAGCACTATGAAGCATAAAGCTATCTTCCGTTGCATAAAGTTATTTTTCTTCTTAAATAAATTGTGCAAGAATCTAACATATGCCCTTGTAATATGAGAAATCTGAAGTGGCAGTACAAATACTGAACATCAACTAAAACATCAGGAAATGGAGTAAAAAAAGATTCAGAAAAGATCTGGCACTAACAGTACTGGTCTGTAGTGGTATCGTAACTATTAAAAACTGATGTCAGTCTGTGCGGACAAAATGTACTACAAAACTTGTGTTTGCTTATATTTGAGGCAAACATGTCTTGGACTAAATGGAAAGCTGTGAAGCTGACGTACGAAGATTATCCCTGCTGATAACAGAAGCACTCAGAAACAGCACTGGTTGTCTGAGACATGAGAAGGAGCAGAACTATAGCCGGGGAGTACAGCTGGGATACTTGGCAGAGCTTTTCCAGTTTCACTGTACTACAACCTGCTTCTGTTACATAAGAAAATGTCAGTTTTTCCTTCCTATCTAGCAACAGAAAAAAAAATAAAAATTGGTTGAAAAAGCCAGGATTGCTAAAGAGGAGCACAGGCACTAAAATTGTGCAATCAGTTTTAAATGAAAGACAGCACTAGAAAGAAAAACCCTGTTGTGTGTGGTACACACAAAGAAAATGGTGTAACAGAATGCTTGAAATGAGCTTTGTCCAGCATTTAGTAATAAAAGAATTTCAAAACAATAGAATAGTAGACAAGAAAACAGAAATATCCAAAATTAAAGACTGTTATTGAAGTAACAAGTACTGAATTTGAGGAAAACCATCATGTACCCCAGGCAGAGACCAACTGACACTCAACCCACTGCTCTCTAAAGGACAGAGCACCAGGTGGAGGGGCTGACAAATGACAAACATCTGACTGACCGTTTGCTTTTTCTCTCTCATAGAATGCACAAAGATTGTGAACTCTTCACTTCTGCTATAGGTGCCTGTATATATGTAATGAGAATAGTATGGGGTGGAACTTCCCATTGCAGCTGGCCAGAAATCTTTCAGCACACTGTGGAGTGGGGTAAATGTGGGGTGGCCAGGGGCTGCCAGCATGTTAACAGCCATGAGCTTATTGGCTTTTCTTTTATTTGCCTTTGGATCCAGTGAGCTAAACTACCCTCTGCAAAACCAGGCCATTTGTCAGCAATATTAGTCTATGAAAGTATCAAATGCAGTAATTGTTAAAGGAGGTCAGATGGCTCTGATTTTAGCAATGCAAGCCCTGATGATCTCTTATTTTTCTGCCATTTTCCATGTAAATTATAAGCTGTGTGAATTTTAATGTCTGGTTCATCTATAAAGTTGAAAACTGTGCTGTCAAATGAATTTGAAGTTCATACTAGATTAACGAGAATGAGGTTAAATAGTGAATTTCAGAAACAGAATACTGGATTTTTTGGTACCATGTTTTATTGAAGCACCTGGAAGCACTCAAGAATCAAGCAAGACTTCACAAATCATTTCAGAAATTGAACATTTAATTCATTTAAAATTTCAAATTAGCTTATCTGTATACCTAGAAATTTAGCACTGTTAAATATTCATACCTGAACAGTGAAAAATATCCCTATTTAACAATAGATCTCAAGTTTGTAACTCTGAATATAATCAAGAAAAGAACAGAATTGTAATTTAACATAGTTCAACTAAACCACTTTGATGCTGTATGTATTAAAGAAGTGATTGAGTTTTTACATAAAGCAAAAGTATCACTTCTTCATATTTGACCTTTTCAGGCCAAACCACTTAACTTAAAATCTGTTTTTAAAAATACTCTTATTCTTTTCACATCTGAGTAGAATTCTCAAGGAATATTCCATTGTACTTCATTTCATAGCTGTGCTTTGGGGAAGGGCTCTGCTAACACTCCTTGACACACAAGGCAACAAGGAAGAGAAAACAGCTATTAGGACCAGGCTTCATCACTCCAGTTCTGAAACCAACTTAGGCAGCATTTCATAGACAAATGGCCTTGTCAGTTTGTATTTTAGGAAACCATGTGGCAAGTTCATATAGACAGGTAGAGCTGTTTCAAGCAATAGGGATTTCCTTCGTCCGCCACTTAGAAGTTGCAAAGACTGATCTGAAGGCCACAGAAAGGAAGAGGATGCAATTGTTGTAAAGAGACCACAGAAAGATAGAAGCTCAGACTAAAAATTCAGATTGAGATTTTGGTCACCTGATAGATGAATGTGAAGCTAGTGGCAGCTAGTGTTTCATGTAAATGTTGTTCGTTATTTTCAGTGTTCAAGCTCTGAAATGAAATTAAAAGGAAGAATATATTAAAATTTGAATAGTTAAAATTACTACAGTATTGAAATAATTATTTTTTAAGGTGTCATTGGAAAAGGAAAAAAATATCAATGACAGGAGAAAACAAAACAAAACAAAACAAAACAATAAATGAGACAATGAAAATAGAAGGCAGGCACACTGTATGTTCTTACAGACCTGACTCTATCCATCCTCTGTACTTGTTCCTGCATCAGACAAGTGCAGATCATGAGGCTCTTGTCTCTTCTACAGCTCACTTCTCTCTCTCCACTTGCACTTCACTGGGATGGCATGGCCCTGAAGACAAAAGTTATATGTAAGATCCCTGAAGTTATTAATTAATTAATCGCAATTAATCAAAATTTGACTTTGTTTTTTGTACCGAGCTGGTTCAGAAATACAATAAAAAATCTTTTTCTAAATAACCATATGTGTCACAGTCGTTACTCTGAGCACAGTTCTGATGTCACTAAAATAGGAAGGCATTATCCTTGATATGAGTTGGGGTCTGGTGCAGACTCAGTTTTTTCTTGAGTCTTTTTCCACAGTTGAAATCAACAAGCTGTATTTCTACTTCTACCACATCGTGTCAATAGTTGTAACATTTTACCATTCTAAGCACTGAGTAACAGACAAAAATTCTGTAACACACAAAGCACCAGAGACAACATGATATTCTTTTTCTGTTATTTGCCACGCTTTAATCAGTGTTACAAAGATCATGTATGTTTTCTATGCACTTCATTCTATAGAGTTATTTACACTACTCTGTTCCATATAAAAATTGTTTTAATGTCAATTTTATAAAACATGAAAAAAAAACATATCTATTTATAGTTGATTCCTAAAATAATTTTGAAAGCTAATTCTGGTAAAATGGCTATTTGTTGTTTGTAAAAAGATTAAGTTTTCAAAAGATGATTTTTTGGGCAGATTCAGAACCAGAACCAAAGGAAAATGTAGAAGCATTATAGTCTCTGTATTTTCACTGGAAAGCTACACCAAGTTTTAGTCAATCAGAGTCTCTAAAAGTGTTAAATTTTGTTTAAAAAAAATATTTATTTTTTGTCCAAAAACGATATTACAAACTTCAGCTTCTTTAATGCTACACACCATTAGTCATGAAATGAGAACCATGCATGAGAAATCCTTCATCGTCTAAAACAGTTGCAATCATTCTGCCTGCAACCAAGAATACAAGCCAAGACAGAAATGCCAAAAGAGCACTGCCCAAGTTAAACAGGATGTGGTGACAAGTACCTACACTGTGATTACTGTTTTACTTGGTGTCTGAGAGAAGATGGTACAAGCTACAGGTGTGGCCAAAAGCCTAAAACCCTGCTAATGTCAGCAGAGTACTAGCCTGCTGATTTCCTACCATTAACACCATGCAAGAACGTCCCACAACATCACAGGCTTCAACTCAAGTCCCACAATCAGAGCTGCTTCACTTTTCTAGCTCTAGCTCAGTCCAGGAAACTTAAAAATGGACAAATGCTAATAAAAACTCCCACTAGACTAAAGTAGGCAGCATTATAAGCCAGGCAATGTGTGAAAGAATATGTAATGATAATGACGTATCTCTATGTGATTCTGCCCAACCACTCCCGTTGTACCATTTCTGTCCAAGATCTAGATCAGCCCTTGCTTTGCTTCATATGATGGGTCACCTTCACCTTTTTACGCTTGGCCCACTTAACGGATTTGTATTGAGTGCTCCTTATGGATGGAATTTAATTAAAATATAAACATCTATAATCTGGTACCTAAATATCCATTTCTAGTACATAATTGCTAAAATCATTCAATTTGACATTCTGTTGACCCAGTTTTGAATGCTTTTCTAACAGTGTTTTCCTTGCAGTGTTTGTCTCTGCTTACACAAAACTGATGACAACATTAGTAACTTTTGTTAATATTTTTAATACATTATTAATAGCAGCAGCAACAGTGTCACAGTGAGTCCTCAATGGATTCTAAAACTCAACTGGGAGAAGTGGATGCATTTCTTGAAGATGTTTAGACCGCCTCTCTGGTGAGAAAACAATTGAAAAAAAAAAATAGTTTTAAAAAAGATGCCATATATATGTATATATAATTCTAAACAACTAGACATACATTTATCACTCATTTTAATTCAGCAGTACCAAACAGCTTTTATTGCAACCAGTGTCCTAAAAGATTTACGACTCTTTACTTTCCTGCAGATCTGTATCTTAATTTCTGCATGTAATAATAATGAACCTGTGCAATATGTCAGTTTTTTTTTTTTTTTTTTTTTTTTTTTTTTTTTTTTTTTAAATTATGTTCATGGCTTTGATTTCCCTATTGGACTATATAGAATAGAACAGAATACAATATGGTATAGTAGAATGTGGTATGACGCAGAACAGTACAATACAGTAACATACAATACAATAATTGAATTGAAAAGATCATGATGTCCAACTGCCGGACCAATAAGTACTAAACAAAAGATAAAGCACATTATCAAGTGCATTATCCAAATGAGCTCAGATGACCTGTGAGCACCAGTCACCTCTCTAGGAAGCCTGTTTCAGTGTGTGATCAACCTCATGGTAAAGAAATTTTTCCCAATGTCAGCCTGAACCTCTCCAAATACAGCTTTGTGCCATTCCCAACTGTCTTGCCATTGGTTGCCAGGTAAAAGAGCCCAGCATCTCCTCCTGTGTTTCCCCTCCTCAGAGCATTGCAGGGAAAAATGAGGTTGCCTCTCAGCCTCCTGCAGACCAGACAACCCAAATGTCCTCAGCCTCCCCTCACAATCCTGTTACCAGTTCTGTTGACCTTGCCTGGATGCAGTCAAGCATCTTAATTTCTTTTCCTTATTGTGGAGTTCAGAACTACATACAGTATTTAAGGTGAAACTTGATCAGTGCTATGTATAGGGGGAGAATCACCTCTTTGACCAGCTGTCTGTGCTGTACTTAAGACACCCCAAAATACAGTTTGCACTCCTAGCTGGCAGGGCACGCTGTTGGCTCATATTGATTCTACTGTCAACATTGCTCTTGTCTTTATATGGAAAAACAGAAAGACAGTGCTTTTGACTAAATGAGCCAGATCTCCAGCTACATGAGGATAACTTTGTTTCGCTCCAGTGGGAGAAAGTTGTTCAAAAGCCAATTCCCCTGACCTGGAGGATCTTCCTTGATTTAATTTCTCCTGTTGGACTTTTCCACTCTGTAATGAAACATTCACTGGGTAAGAGGGAAACAAAGAATAAAGAAGAAGGAAAAAAATAAGCCCTTTGTAGATGTTCCAGTCCTCTGGTCCAAGGAATATTTAATTATTTAGACGAAATAGAACTGCTTCACTGGAGAGTCCCAGAGAGTTCCATGGTGATAGTCTGATAGAAAAGAACTGACAAAGGAAACCTGGAGTATAAATCTTAATACAGGAAAAAGTGCCTGAAAGTAACATAAAGTTATCCCTACTAAGTGAAAAAGTAGAGTTTATTAGAAAATTAATTATCCTTAATCAGATATTTCACATTTATTTACAGTTTGTGTTCTATTCTTAAATTAGTGAAGTAGCCACCGGGGGAATTCATCAGCTTTAACGCACTTGTAATAAACATGATGTGATTTGTTGTGATTATTTGTTTTAAGTTGTTACACAAACTTTTCTAATCCAGCAAAGTCAGAAAAGCTTGAGATGGAGTTGAGATGGAGGTACTCTGAAAAAGAAAAAAAAAAAAAAAAAAGACATTTCTCACAAGGGAAAAGGAAGGCTGATTAAGTAGTGATGTTACATACAGTGAGTACCTTTACCAGTGACATATGCTGAATCCAGCTGATAGGTCAAATGCACAAGTGAAGTTTTAATGAAAACAGATGCCCAGAGGATCCTAGAGCAGCTGCATCTGCCCATGCTCCATGTGTAGAACATCTTCCCGTTGCTCCTCAGTGCTGCACTCCCCCACTTCCAAGAAACCAGGGGCCTCTTAAAACAAGGTTGAAAGAAGAACGTCTTACTAGTCAGCTGGCAACATGTCTGCATTTTTAAGCTAGCCTGGATACAGCAGAGGAGAGCTTAGATTTTGCTATGTGACTGACCTCTCTTAGCCAAGTTCATAACAGTGTGAGCTATCAAATATGACAGGCTCTTGGCAAGCACTTGTATGCTTTTGGCAAGAACCTCTTCCAAGCCCAGCTGGGATCAATTAAACTAAATAATAGTTCTTGCAATAACTGGTTCCTACCACACTCTTCAGAAATTGCTTAGTGTTTGAATGTAAATACTGTTAAGTTCATACCTTGTTTACCCTTGCCGCTTTTTGCAGAAACTATGACAGAACTTCAAACCTAAGATTTTTGAAGCAAATTTGTAAAGTTTGCGTGGGGAAGAAACATGATATGTTCAGGCATACATGTCTTGTCCTGTTTCCTATCAAGAAATCTGTGTTCTGTGTTCTTCTAATATCCCACTGTGTTCTTCTAATATCCCAAATACAAAAATAATTATTATAAATAAATAAAAAAATATAAAAAACAATCCCCAAAAAACCCTGATGCATTCATTTCTCAAGACGTCTTGTTAAATGAAGATGTCATTGTCATAACTGATTAGTAAAGTGATCTAACTAAACTGTTATCAAGTCCTACCTTCCAAATCCAAAGTAACTGACCAAAAAAATATGCTGTAACTCGAGTGTTTTCAGGGCCTAATGATACATTAGGTGAAGGGGCATTTAAATTCTAGGTGATTCTTAAACATTTTACTTCTGTATGGAGCTTTGATATGAGCACCATGAATAAGCAATCTCATCTTTTAAATGAAGGAAAACATTGTAATTGGAGCAAATATGAATGTTTTTCACTTTGACTGAAAAGCAGAATTATTTTCCACTCAAGTAAAAAAAAAAATAAAAATCATTAAAAGCTCATTTTTATAATCTAGCAAAATCTTCAGATCTTTCCTGAGAAGCGTACATGCGAAAGTTATGCATTCAAACAGTTAGTTACTCTGAAGCCAAACAGTTTCTGCACAGTTCATTCTATCAGTAACAGAGGAATACAGTTCTCTACCTAAATAAAAAGAAATACAATGCATTACTTTTTTATTGTTATTTTTGAATGAATGTCATGTGGTTATACATGCCAGATTTACAAAGCTTAATGTAACACTAAGAAAGCACTTGTTCTGCTAAACTGTTCAAGTCCATCTTGAAAGCAGTTGGACTGCCCAGCTGCTTAAAGGTCTTTGATGAATGGAAGCCAAGACTTTTATGGTCCTGTGAAATGTCCAGTGCTACCCTGGAAGAAGTACACTGATGTGTCACTGCATTCCTTGCGTAATCACTTTCGCCATCAAGTACTCTCCCCTTATTTGAGAAGCTGGAGTATCTTATCTGGCCTAGGCTCTCTCTGCAATATTCTGTTAACCTAAGAGAGGAGTTTGCAGCCTGTCTGCAAACAGTCAAATTTGAAACATTGTTACATTTTACAAGTTCAAGTCTTGGAGATGATGGCTTACCTTAAATAAGCAATACCAACAGCAGAAAGCCATTTGTAATTTCATCTAATTTCAAAAACAATTTCTTAAGCCAGAGGGTGGCTGAAAGCACCAAGTTATTCAATTAAGTCCTCTGAGAAAAGATCAATAATTATGGCATTGCAAGGCCCTAAGTGTGTTACTTTTACGCAGACTTGGAGAATATATTCATTTCTCTACTAGAAAAGAGGTTTTTTTTTTCTTTTTTACAGTTGTCAATCCTACCAATTCAGGTATGATCTGGAAGCACAGCTGAAACTTTCATGTACCACTTGAAGTAGACTTTGCCTATCTTTACATCAGCAAAATGACATAAGCAACTTGTGATTTTACTCTTAAGGTCACACAGTCCAGCAGCACCCCTCTTGTTCTGCAAGTATAATTTTGAAGGCCTCATCTGTTTGTGATGTTCAACAGTATGAGAACCCACATTTATTTTCACAGGCCTAACCTGAACTGGAAACACTGCTTTTCAAAGTATACAGCCACAGAGAGGTACAATGGTACTGCGTTGGATGGTATTGCACGATCTTCAGGACAGAAGTGACCATACTAGACCCATCAGTCTCACAATGATCCTCCACACCCTCTATGATGAGAGCACAGAAGAACATCCCAATGATGATCATCTTCCACTGTGATCATTTTGCAGGCCCAGTACATAAGAGAGCAGCAAGGAACAAGTAGTTTGGGCAACATAAAAACAATTCTGTTGTACTTAATATCACTCAGAATTGCCAGGTAATAGCCCATATGGAGTCCTTCACCAATAAAGCTGGTCCTGCTAACATGTGACCTTTTCTTATAGGTGCATCAGTAGTCAAGAAAGGAGAAACAGGACATTGTGGAAGCAAAAGGCTTCTGTGTGTCTAGCTACTACCGAAACTTGCTATGCTCTGAGATATGCAAAATCATCAGAGAATGATGATTCTCTGATGAATGGGAGGATAAATGAAAGTGTGAACAGTAAGGGCATTACAGTGTTCATTCTAGGGGGCTCATATATAAGCCCAAACCCGATAGTATTTCAACAAGAAAGCTTACAGGATGAAATGTAGAAAACCTAAGTCTTCCATCTGTGCCTGGACCTGGGCATTTCCCAGCAGGATGCAGGACGTAGTCTTTGAGACCAATAACAATATCATTCAATAGAGGAGGATTAAGCATTGGAAGTCTTAGCCAGTACATACTTTATTTTTTGCAGGAGAGAGCATAATGCCCAATGTAAGCACATTTTAGTGGTATGATTCCTCCTACCATATCCTGTCTACTGGTCCAAATATTTAAGTTAAGAAAATTGTTTTTAAAATTGCATTCCTACATAAAATAAATCCTTATATCCAGTAAATATATCTCAGATATAGAACATGCCATGCAAAGTTACAGTTACCTTTTTAAGGGTAAAACTCCATGGTGAACATGTAGGATCACCTCCTAGCTAGGAATCAAACTATCTGACAGCAACTAGGGATCACATCTCAATATTTTATGTATACAAACATCAGCTTCCACTTCTAGCATCTCATCTCTACATCAAACAGCCCTCAGGCTTTTAATTATCAGTTCTCTGCTTCTTAATGATTCCAAATGGAACTTGCTCCAAGACAGAGTAGTTCCCCAGGAAAAATAAATAAATAAATGCAATGAAATATAATCACAACCCAACAATATTTTACTATTGTTCTCCAATGTAGACACCAGTTTCAGACTGTATTTTAAGGAAGAACTTCCATTAGATTCACAGCTGAGAAAGAGAGACATACAGATTACAGAGTGAACATTTCAGATCAGCTGTCAGCCTGTACTGAAGCTAATGGCCAGCTATGCTCTCCAGACCAATGGACCCATGGATGATCATTGCATCACAGAGAGACTAACTACTGAAACTGACACTGGATCTTTCTGTTTACAGGAGAACAGGAGAGCATCAGGTTTACAAACTCACTGACCCTCATGGTTGGATTGAGCTTTTCTGTGTCCCCTGCAGAGTTTGCATAGATAAATAAAGTGACATAGGACACTGAAAGGCTGTCAGTGTTGGGGAAAGAGTAAGCATGGCAGACTTCAAGAAGCATAGTTGGACAAACAAATAGACATACAAGTAGCATGGGATAAAACAAAAGCATATGAGCTTAGAGCAGTGAAAGATGAACAAAAGATAGCCAAACAGATTGCTCAACTCAAAGCATTTAATAAGATATTATTATGGTACTAGCCAGGAACCACAATGAGGGAAGAGATCAGATTCTGTTATAAATTACCATTGATCATATAGTGTAACAGACTTACTCCAGATTTTCACCAGTGTAGCTGATTCAAAACATGGGAGTGTGTAGGGAGAGGAGAGGAATGTGAGAGGAATCAATCAAGCAGTACACAGAAACTCTGTGCTTCACCAGCACTGCAAAATCAAGAAGATAGATGGACAAAACAGAAGGGCCAAAACAGTGTGGCAATATATAACAGAAATGAAAAGAGAGAAGGGCGAGATGTAAGGGCATGCTCAGCAGCTAATGAGAGAATTCTGCAGCTCTGCCATGTGCTGCCTGTGCTGCCCTGTGCTTGTTGTGCCCAGCCTCATCCCAGCACCCAAGTGTGACAGCTCCAGCTGCACCCACCACGAGAGGCTACTGGAGGTGGGGTGAGGAGAGAGTGAGTGACAGAAGCAGCAAGAAAAGGAGTAGAGGATATTCCCCCACCCAGCATCGGTGGGAGGTGTGGTGCAGAGTAAGTGGGGAGACACTGAGGAGCAAGTTCCCCCTTCTCCTTTTTTATGAGGTGCTTGTCCTGACATTCCTCATCATTGTCCTCTTTCCCTTGCCTTTTCCCAAGCAGGCATCATTCAGAAATAGCTTTCTTGACAGCATACAATGAAAGGAAATCAAATTGTTCAAACCATAGCAAAGGTTGTAGACATAAAAACAAACCTAGACTAGCTGTCAACCTACTCTGACCAGAGCCAGAATGCAGTAAATTACCTGAAGGCCTTCCAGCATTGCTCAGTGCTACAGGAAAAGAACATTACAATCAGATGAGCTGGGAGACAGAAGTGGGATTTTACCTGCTGTGCTCTGGTCAGACATGTGCAACATCAAAATGCCAAGTAATGGCTGAAATGAGTCAAATTTTCATGATGAAAACAGCCATTGGGGAGAGAGAGGCCTGTGCTTTTGTGTAAGCTGTTGATCACTGAAATGTGCATTCAGTTAAATTGCAGCTTTGAGAAGGACATAGAATTTTTCCTTAAAGGGAAAGATGTTAAATAAAAAAAAAATAGTACGAGACAGAATAACTGGATCTGTTGGTACATAAACTAGAATGATGTGATATAGCTTGTTGTGGGGTTTTTTGTTTGTTTGTTTGTTTCTGTCAGCTTTATTTTCTTTTGCATTTAAAGAAGTTCAGAGTAAAATCAAAAAGGTCTGTAAATGAATAATCCTCTCCCCCATCTTCTCACTATGCACCTTTGAAGGCACAAAACCCTTTCTGCCTGTACATCCAGGTGGCCCTGCTGTCAGATGAGAAGCT